GTGGATCTAGTTATTGCACAAAAAGAGTAAGTAAGTAAGAAGAGTGTCCAGGTATGTATGAGTAGAAACATCTGCATTATTACATAATCTTGAGGTCTTTAGGTCTTGCCTAAGTTATTATTTATTCAAATTGTATACATTTGTGCAAAAATAGAACTAACACAAACTAATTATTATTTATAAACTAATACATACACAATGCACAGAGAGAGGGATCAATAAATGGCCTTTAATAAAATCAAACGACTCATCAGAATGAGGTTTTTTCAAATATCACAACACTTCATCACTGGCCAACCGAAAGCTGTTACAGCCAGTCTAACTATCCTTCAGTCATTGTTTGGACACTCTACTGGCACAGAGACTGTAGAAGTGGTCAGTCGGTCCACCTCCACCACTTTGGTCCATTTGATGAATTACCCAGAGACTTTTTATCTAACGCCATCATCAGATCAACTTCGAATTTGCCAGATTTCTCACTTATCCAATAAAATATCTCTATATCTATGTTTCCCAGAGGATGACTCCAATGACTTCGGTGATCCCTTCCTCTAGCAGTTTGATGAGGTTCATAGTCAACAACTGCTGGATGGCAGCATGACCGCAAACTCTTGTCTTGTTTATATCACGTGGTGAAAGTAACTATAAGTACATGTAATCAAGTACTGTACAGTGTTGAGGTACTTTTTATTCCACTGCATTTATTTGACAGCTTTATTTACTTAGCAGATTCAGATGAAAACAAAAAATAAAATCAATAAATGATGATGTATATACACAATAGTAGTTGACATTTGCCCCACCTTTACCAGCTGCAACATTAATAATACATATTAATGCATTAATATTATGATACAATAACATAATATTCTTAATGGGCCTTTCTGCAAACTGAGTGCTTTTACTTATGGCACTTTAAATACATTTTGATGCAAATACTTCTGTTCATTTAGAATGCAAGACTTTTACTGGCTCAAAATAAGTAGCCTAACAACAAAAACAATTAAATATATAATATATTTAATAATAATAATATCATTTAAGACAAAATGTACAAGTTGTAAAAAGAAGTAAATAAACTGTAGATAATAAGTGAAAATGCGTATTAGCTCGATGTACGATCTGCTCAGTGTCTGGATCAACCCGCTCCTCCTTCAGGCTTTTATTTGGAATGTCGCTTTACCGGAAGTCGCATTCCTTTATTGAGCTTCACTGCGGCTGCGCGGAGCAGCGAGGTCCACCGCCTGCTTTCTGTGTGTTTCCACTGTTGTTGAAAGCGGACGGATAACAAACTGAGACCTTCAGTGGTCTTTAATGGTGAACAGATTGAACATCTGTTGATAAATCAGCCCGAGAGGAGAGAGAGGAGGAGGAGGAAGGCGAGAGGAAGAGTTGCAGAGGAGAAGGAGAGACAGAGGAGAAGAGGAGGAGGAGGACAGGGGGAAAAAATCGGGACAGTATAATGCTGCAGATCTGACTGAAAGGTAAGAAAATCCGCCTGATCGATACTTACTGCTGATTGATCCCAGAGCTGTCGGTGCTGTGGCTCGGGGCTGAGGTGAGGGAGGTTAGAGCCGCAGCCACCGCAGCATGCAGCCGCTCAATGTAGGTCATTGTGTCTGTGGGCCGAGCCGAACCAAGCCGAGACAAACCGAGCCGGGCCGGGCCGTCCTGCAGCTGCAGCCGCAGCCAGGCCGCAGGCAGGCTGTGGAGGAGGAGGAGGAGGATGAAGATGAACCCCTGCAGAAGGACTGACTGGTGCTGCAGTAACAAGACTCATTCATCATCACAAACGCTGTTACTACCACTATTACCACCACTGACAAAGCTCGTGATAACAGTGACATTTAATTGTGTCAAATAATGGAGTTATTGTTTTATTTTGAAACACAGTTCAGCAGAACAGGCCAATACAAACAAACAAACAGGCTTTAAAAAAACTTTTAGAAATACTACTACTACAATACTACTTGGTTGTCTTGGTCTTTATCATGGCTAGATTAGCAACAATTAAAGTTAAACTTTTTTGGGAAAAACATTTCATTTTGTATATTAGTTTAAAATAGTCAGGACTGTGTGAGTGTGGTTTGTTCAGATTTGATGGATAACAATATTTGAAAACAGAAGATGCTTGAGATGTTCGTACATATTAAATTAAACACAATATACAATATATAAATATACTGCACATTTATAGTGTGTAGTAAAGGGAGGTGGAACGTGTGGGTCAGCAGTTACTGTGTCACAATTTACAAGCAATGAATGAACTGAACAGAAAGGTATTGTATTACTATGTAAAAAATTAATTATAGTAAACAGACAAATGACAACAAAACTACAGACACACAAACACAAAGTCAAATTGAAAGATTTTTAAAGCAGTAGTTCATTTTGGAAAATATTATATCAATAATACAACCAGCAGAGAGGGTTAAAGAGAGAGAGAGGGTAGTGCTGAGATCTACACTGTAGGACAGAAAACAGGCAGGTTTCTCGCAGTTTAAACGAGGGCTGCATCATTACAAATTTAATCAGTCAGTTCAAACTGAAATGACACTGACTGATTTACTGACTGTCAGCTTTAACTGTGCAAACACACTGATGAAACAGACAGTAAATCACTAGCTGAATGTGAAGCCAAGAATCTGAATCTGCTGGGAGAAATGCCAGCTAAGGGAAAATCCTTATGGAAAATCTGTGTGTGTCTATAATAACCCTGTAACGCTCCAGCAGGGGATTGTAGTGACTGTGCTGCTGCAGTGTGTAATAGTGACCATTATGGCTGTTTTATTGGTAAGAATCTGGTGATAAGATACATGTCACGATTCAGATTTAATATATTACTGTAAGCAAGGCGATACATTGTGATACATTTATGTTTACAGCACTGCTATCTGGTAGTTCGGGGTTTAAACCCAAGAATTGATGTAGTGTTTTTGAGAATCGATACAATGTCACAAAAAATATCACAATACTCTCCCTGGGCGAGTGTTAGAGTGAAAATGCTGTTCAAAGTTCATCAAAGCTTTAGGCTGAGCTTTAGTTTTTGGACCAAATGTCTCCCCATATCTTCCATTACAATTGCTTTAAGGAGGAATCTCTTCATAGCCAGTATGGACTAGAGCGTGGTTCACAACCTTTATAGAGTCGCAACCCTCCAGAATAATCAGGTGGGTGTTTGCCAATTCCTGGAAATGATCTTGCGACCCACTTGTGGGTCCCGACGCCCATGTTGAGACCCACTGGACTAGAGGAACAATC